AAAACCGTAACGTTCAACAGTAATAAATATCTGGTCATGAGCACCAGAAGGGGCTCGACACCAAGACTTACTGACTGACTGATCGTCAGTCGCAATTTGACTTAGACTTAGACTTAGGAGGCTAGAGTTCAAGGTCTGCTGGAAGCCGTGGATGAAAAACCCCCCTCTAAGGATCAAACCATGTGACGTTCAGAAATTAATAAAATCCCTGAAATTAAAAAAGGCCTGTGGAATTGACGGCATCCCAAATGAATGCCTCAGGCACCTTCCAAGGAGACCATTGGTTCACCTAACTCACTTATTCAATCACTGTTTTCGGCTCTCTCACTTTCCAAATACTTGGAAGGAAGCAAAAATAATAACTTTACCTAAATCGGATAAAGACCCGAAATTTCCTCAAAATTTACGTCCGATAAGCCTCCTGTCCAGAACAGGAAAATTATTCGAAAAAGTAATTTTGAAATTCCTCCGTAAACACATTGAAGAAAGACGCCTGCTCAACGCAAGTCGGTTTGGTTTTCGTGCACGGCACAGCACGACATTGCAATGTATGAGGCTGGCGGACCACGTGACCCTCAATTTCAACAACAAAATTTCTACGGCTGCAGTGTTCTTGGACATCGAAAAAGCCTTCGATACCACGTGGCACCCAGGCTTGCTGTTTAAATTATCAAAATTGGAATTCCCCAACTCTTTGATCATGCTTATTGGGTCCTTTCTATCTAAACGTAAATTCAGGGTCTCTGTTAATGGCGAAATGTCAACGCCAAGGTAAATGCAAGAAGGGGTGCCACAAGGTTTTGTCCTTACCCGTACTCTTTTCAACTTGTACATATGTGATGCCCCCCAAACTCATGGTGTTCACCTGGCCCTCTATGCGGACGACACCTGTATATATGCGACAGATCGTAAGGAGGGTTTCATTGTTAGAAAATTCCAGCTCTATCTCAACTCAATGTAGACCAGGTATTAGCGCTGGAATATAAAAATTAATGAAGATAGGACTCAGGGGTTCAACTTCTCTAGTGGGTGTCAACCGCCTGAGTCTTCTCTTACACTTAAGGGAAGAAATATTCCATTTGTAATTAGTGTAAAATATCTAGGTGTAATCTTCGATAAGAGAGTGAGATGGAGATTACACATAGAAATAATCGAAACCAAGGCCTACAGAACATTCATTACAATAGTGAGCGTTTGAGCGCTAACATTAAACTAACTCTCCTTAAAGCTCTTATTAGATCCGTAATGACTTATGGTAGTCCCGTCTGGGAGTTTACAGCAGATACCCATCTAGTTAAATTTCAGCTCCTGCAAAACAAGGTTCTCCGCACGATTGGCAATTTTCCAAGGCGCACACCGGTTCGCGATTTGAACATAGCATTCAAAATCCTATACGAATGTGACTTTATAACAGAATTATGCAGGCAACAAGCTGAAGTCATACAAAATTATGAGAATGAAAATGTTCGCAACATCGGACAAGGCGAAGCCCGCCACAGAAAGTATTAGAGGCTTAAACGTGGCGGCGGTCGTGCATACGACCGTTCAAGTAACTGGACTGCCGTGGTAGCTAATAATACAAGAACAACAGGGGCTTAATCTGCTGTACTTGACTAGCAGAGCCCCAGCTGGGGCTCAACACCAAGACAGACTTACTGACTTACCGTCAGTTGAAAAGAAAACTCTGACTCTTGACTCGCAATCGTCGGAGATTGAAAAAGGGTGAGTTAGTTAGATTCGATTGGATTACTGAGAATTTGGAGAGATTTATCTGTTCGACGACAGAGATTGGAGAGGAGTCCTTCTATTGGATGGTTCGTCATTAGGAGATTCATTGAGAAAATCTTGTTGTGGTAGTATGATTCGTACAAAGTAGATTGTCTGTTCAACAATTGTTTGGTGTGCTGTAATGTGTTGGTGAAGATTTTTGGTTAGATCAAGATTGGCGGTGTTCAATCAGTGTAAAGTTGGTTTTAACGTTTTTGCAGCGTGTTGGTGTTAGGTGTGCGCTGTGTTTGCGTTTCGAGAATTTTGGGAAAAATTTCTTCTCAACCTAGTGGATCGATCAAGGAGTTATTGCTGGTAGTTGTTGCGAGTTCTTTCTGATCAGCTTCTGAAATTCCGCAGTCCTTGGTAGTAAAATTCATAGTTTTACGTGAGGCTTGGTTCGTGCCGTGCTGTGACGTGCCAGACATGGCGGGCGCCTCGGTGCCTGGCTACTATGTATCCTGGGCCGAAAGAAGAGCCTCACTACAGGCAGCATACAAGGAAAACGTAAAACAATATCCTGAAGCAGATGAACATTATAGGAGACTGTTTAAAATCATTTGTGTCATTGAGGATGTGGCCAGCTTCACCCCCGCCACAATTGGGGAAAGTGTCGAGTGGGCGGCAATAGTAAATGCCATCAGGGGTTGGCAACTGGGATAGGGATGTGGGAACATTCCACATTATCACTCCTTTCAAGGTCAAGGTCATGTTACAACTGACGGTGAGTCAGTCTGTCTGTCTTAGTGTCGAGCCCCAGCTGGGGCTCATGACCAGATATTTCTTTTGAATGAAAGACCACTGTCCTGTCCATGTGTATTGCCCTCTCTGACAAGAGGTCGGGTCTGTCATTTGTTAGTCAGTCTGTGTTAATAAGTCCAATGTCTGTATTTGCACATATTTACAATACCCAATTATTTCTTATTTAAATGTACAATATATACACGGCCTCCGTCAGTCCAGACTAGGTACAGCAGATTATGCCCTTTTACATATATATATTGTCACGTATTGTGTGTATAACGCGACAAATAGGTTCAAGCCGTTGTTTTGTATAGCGAATTTATTTCGTTCGCTCACGCTTTACACACTTTACACATTTACAATTGTCATCACTTGCAGTGTTACAATTACTGCTTACAACCTCTCGGCGATGCTGGACTCTCTTCTCTAGCGGTTGTTCTAAGACACTCTACACCGAGGGCTTGATAACGACTGACTTCTTAGACGGCTCGATGAAGACTGGCTTCTTATACGGCTAGATAAGGACTTTCTTCTCCGAAGGCTTGATAACGACTGACTGTCCGAACGCATTCAAAACCGCTATATAACCTTGGTCGCTGCAACGAACCCTCTGTTATAGCAGTGGAAACGTTGCTCTGTTTGTTCCGCGTTTCCTACGCAATGACCCATTTTTATTGCGTTGTCTCTGTGGGAACGCTTCGCGTATTCTCGTAACCGTGGAGATTCGATGTTCTCGGTGCAACGGCTCACTGTTGGGGTTACAGTGCGGCTATTGTTACTTCCTATGCAAATGTCTATTCTAGCGTTTCCATGGAAGCTACCCTTCTGGATTGCCGACAGGTTACACAATATATATTGTAACATGTTGCGCAACGGAGAACCAGTCCCTACCCATCAGCGAGGCAACTCAGGCCACAGGCGCGTGGCGGTAACGTAGCGCTTTCTCCCACTCCTCCGCGGTTTCGTAACACGCAACGCTACGTACCCGTAATCAAATTCCTACTGTGACGTGGCACGCAACAGGCAACACTGCGGCTATATAAGGGAACCGCACAGCAGCTACCAGTCAGTTGTACTGTGACAGTCACCGAGTGCGTTATCAACGAGTTCTCAGTACGCGAGTTACGAGCCACAGACGCGTGTGCGATAACCAGGAATAACCAGTTATATTTGGAGTCTGTAATTCAGGGAGACTTGTATAGCTCCCGCGTTATTAATACGTAAAGACTCTTGAAGGTAGTGTTATGAGATTTTGTTGTAGGGTTTGTAAACTGTGGAAACCCGTCACATTGTGATAATTAATTGTAGCCGTTATTTGTAGATTGTTCAATAAACCAATTAACGATCTCTACGGCGTATTCAGTAACGAAACACATTACAATATATATATATATACACGTGACATGCTTCCTGATGAAGCATGGGTTCGTTCACTTGCAGGGTACATAAATAGGAAAAATTATTGTTACTGGAATTCACAGAATCCATATCTAACCCACGAAGTGTGGTAAGATCCAGTGAAAGTTGGAGACTGGCATGCTGGAAGGGCAAGAAGGATTCCTTTACCTGCATCTTTTAGTGGAACAATTAATTGTGAAAGATATGTACAGGTCATTCTCAGACAATTCTTTCAAGAGTTAACAGAAGATGACACACTCTATGGCTGGCTTCAGCAAGACTAAGCTACTGACCACATTGCATGTATGTCTATGCAGGCTTTGTATGATACCTTCGGGGACAGAAATATCAGCACTGGTATTTGGCAGGCACATTCACCCGACCTTAATTCTTGTGATATTTTCTTCTGTGGTTCTTTGCAGCACAAAGTTTAAAACAGTAAACCCCACAAGGAAGAACTAAAATAAATATTCATAGGGAAATTGGAAATATTAATGCACAACAGCTTTAAGGTTTAATCAGAACATCTTCTGCTGGTGCAAGGAATGTCGACAAGTAGGGGGACAGCATTTTCAAATACTTCTGTGACCTGTGATTTGTATAATTCATTCCAAGCGTTACTGGTTACAGGCAGGAGTCATTGGCAACATTTGTATGTGCCCTGCAGCCAGCAGTGCATCAGATGCTGTGAAATGCAGAGCTGGGAACCAGGCGAGAAAAGTAAGAACCTCCGTCTATATGTATATATAGAAATTTTCTTCGAAGTTCATTAATAGCTTTATTTGTGTGTTTAATTACACCCATTGTATATGCCACATCACGATAACTGTATCTATATATTAGGATGTGTTGCCAATGCCAATTCTTCACTACTGCTTTCTACATCTTTTACACATTCTTTGTATCTAATGTTGAGTCACTTTCTGTCTAACAGAAAATAACAAGAAATCTGTCATGACAACCAATCACCCGACTACAGGTACAGAGGCAACAGGCAACATGTGTCTATAATCTGTTCCACAATGTCACAAATCTTTAGAGAATTATTAGTTATCCTATAACAAATCCTCAATATAATGTCACCTCTGTTATTACATTGATACATACTGCATCAAAGACAGAAAACAAATGATAAACTTCAGCATTTATAGATCCTGGGAACCCTATGATGTAGTGCCAAAGCACTGTTTAGTGGACTGGACAGACAAGGAAAATGTGAAGGATTTTTCCTGTATAGAATTTACCAAAAACATTCAGTTTACACAGTATTTCATTCCATCCATATTAGATCTGCTTAAAACACATTGGGACAGATACATAACATGCACATTCAACAAACTACATTTGCCTAGACATTTCAGAAATAAGAAACCTTCAGAATCTGGTCAACAGTGCAGTAGAGCTGCTTCACATGCACAGACAGCCAGAGAGACGGAAATAAGAAAGATTACTGACACTTCTGCACATTTGTGTTACCTGCCTAACAGTGCACATACAGCTCACCTCAGGTTCAGCCTTTAGTTCTGGAAATGGTATTGCAACAGAATCCTTTTCTTCTTCTGCATCTGAGACTGTGTCAGGTTTTACATTCATGGCCTGATTTGCATCATGAGGTGTTGGGTATGTCTCACCATATGGACCCACTAAAACATTCTCAGAATTCATACAGTCCTGTAAAAACCATCACATCTTTCTCAGAAATGGATGCACAACACCAAACATTAAACAGCATATGCTCTCCCTGCTATGGCTGCTTCTCATTACACCTAGCTCATAAGAGCTGTTTTGTACACATTTCCTTCTCTACAGCTATCAAGATCACTCATAGCTCAGTGCTCTTCCCACGAAACTAACAATAACTGCAGCAGTACAGAAAATATCTGCTTCCTTTGGTATCTAAAAACTGCATGAGGAGCTCCATAACTTGTAACCTTTGTTCACTAAGCATAATTAAAATCATCAAGTCAAGGAGGATGAGATGGGCAGCTCATATGGGGAGAAGATGAATGCTTATAGGATTTGTTGAGAAAGACACAAAGGGCTCATTACTGTGGTCACACATGCTCATCATGGCTCTGTATCCTAAGCCAAACAGACCCAGTACAAACCCTTTCAAATTATTTATTTGGTGAATAGAGCTGGCATATGAAAATAAAATTCTTGTCTGTACACACAAGCACAAAACACAATCCTTTCTCTCACAGATGGAAATATTTCTTCTGAGCTCTGCAGTACAATTCTTTCCACTCTTGTTGCAAGAGAATGCAGAATCCTTTGTAACCTTGAAACCTGTGCATCACATGATAAATATCTTGTGCGGTTCATTATAATTAGCTTACAAGAGTTCTGGTAATCTAAATCCTTGGTTCTGATAAGTGTACCAGTAACTAAATATGAACAGTATCGTGACTCCATAAAGATTTTTGCTGCTACAGAATTTCTCTGAAACACAATTCAGTTTACACAAAATTTAATTTCATCTGCATCAGAACTGCTTAAAATGAAAGCAATATCCTTTCATTCAAAAAACTATAACTGTCTAGAGACACTTCAAAAAATATCTTCATAGGCCAGTCAGCAGCACAGTGGAGCTGTTTCATGTGTACAGACAGCTGCCTGACAGATGGGGAGAACTGGCATTTCTGCATATTTGTGATCTCTCTCCAACAGTGGACATACAGAAACATACACCTCACCTCAGGTTCAGCCTTTATCTCCTGAAATGTTATTTGCAGAGGATCCACTTCCTCATGTGTGTCTGAGACTTCCTCAGCATTCATATTCACGGCCTGGTCTGCATGACTTGTTGGGTGTGTATCTTCATTCTCTGAATTTGTATGGTTCTGTAAAACCATCATATCTTCTATCAGTCACTCTTGTTGCAAGAGAATGCAGAATCCTTTGTAACCCTGAAACTACTTTATCACATAACAAATATTTTGTGGGGTTCATTATGATTAGCTTACAAGAGTCCTGGTAATTTAAATCCTTGGTTCTATTAAGTGTACCAGTAACTAAATGTGAACAATATCATGACTCCATAAGGATTTTTGCTGCTACAGAATTTCTCTGAAAAGCAGTTCAGTTTACGCAAAATTTAATTTCATCTGCAACAGAACTGCTTAAAAGGAAAGCAACATTCATTCAACAAAATACAACTGTCTAGAGACACTTCAGAAAAAGACCTTCAAAGGCCAGTCAGCAGCACAGTGGAGTTGTTTCATGTGCACAGACAGCCAGGGCGATGGAATGAGATGAGATGAGAAAGACAATTGACATTTCTGCATATCTGTGATATCTGCCTAACAGTGGACTTACAGAAACATACAGCNTTTGGTATTACGGAACTCAAAGTCACTTCTGACCACATTTTTAAGTTGCTTTTCCAAATGAACGAGGTTCACTGTGGTCGTTAGAATTATTGGGGGTGGCCTGCCTGCTCTACCAGATGATTCCACCTCCAGAGTAGTGGCTCCCTCCTCCAGCGCAGTGGCTCCGTCACCAGCAGTGTCGGTGTCCATTGTTGTCACCCTGAGAGGAGCGCAGTAGTTGCGGGTAGGCACCTCTTTGGTTTGGGTGTTGCATGTGGCAGCCGCTGCCTTCTTTTGAAGTCGGGGAGGACTCGGTTGTGCTCTGCCGTTTCCGCCTTCGGACCTCTTTGAAGTCTTCCTCTTGGGAGGGCTTCGCCTGGGTTTTTGTTGCCTCCGATGTTCTGGCTTTCACTAGGAACTTCAGATCGTTCAGTGTAACTGTGTAGGTTCCGTACAGAGCACTGAACAAAATCTTGCCCTTGAGAGCCTTGCAATAGCCCTCTCTGCTTTCTTCAGCGGCATTTATTATTGCCGCCCACTCAACACTTTCTCCAATTGTGGCGGGTGTGAAGCTGGCCACATCCTCAATATCACAAATGTTTTTGAACAGTCTCCTGTAATGTTCATCTGCTGCAGGATTGCTTCACGTTTTCCTTATATTCTGCCTGTAGTGAGGCTCTTTTCTCTGCCCAGAATGCATGATAGCCAGGCACCGAGGCGCCCGCCATGTCTGGCACGGCACGACACGACACAGGCCTCAAGCAAAATCTGATAGTTTTAACAAAAAAAGACTGAAAATTTCAGAGCTACCAGCAATAGAACTCCTTTATACTCTCCTTGAGCGTGAATCAGTCCTGTCCTGTCAAACAGACAATCTCGAATCCACCACTCGATCCCAATTCCGCATCGAATCCAATCCGCTCTGACGTATACAACAGCACACTAACTCCGAATCGAATTCCTCAACTACACTCACTCAACCTCTATCCTATAATCCTAACCCATCAACCACTAATCAAATTGCTCCAAACGTTCCCTTTTATACTGCGCTCGCTGCTAGCCTGCACTACATCATTACGCGCGCTAGCCAATCAATTCTTCCTCCTCAATTTCGAGTTTCGCTCCGCCCACCGAGCAGTGTATAAAAATGGGCACCTCCAACAGCACTTCATCAGAGTGATTCGATCAGAGCATCAGAACATTCGATCACAGAGTTGATCATCATTGAGCAGGTCCATTAGTATACGTCCTGTACTGTCTCGATTCAGATCAGGAGATCAGGATTGTCTGTTTGATTGGATTGGGTAGACGGTATTGGTTTCGAACGATCACGAGGTTCGTTGCTGCTGGAGAGGGGTTGTGATCACTCACTTACTGAAGGAGTTTCTTCGAACTCTCTCAAGTGATCATAGAATTGGAGTCTATTCATCTGTAATAGTTACAATAGTGCGCAAGAACTACACAGTGAGTGGTGTGTCTAGTACATCGGAGGTGGGGCCGTCCCGTCTGTAACAAACTATCAAGCAGACGAAATGACGGAACCGACCTTGTGCGAAACACGGTGGACATCAATCGTGGCTTCCTTCGAGAGGAACCATGAAAATTTAAAAACTAATAACCCTGACTGCCAGGAGGAAGTCGAACTGTTAGGCAAGGTCTTGAAAGCAATAGGGCAGCTTATCCAGACATCGCCCTCCATAAATGGAAACGGCGGAGTATGGAGCAAAATCGTAGCAAAATCCGAGTCTGAAAGAACAGTGCTATGTAAGCATCTCAACGGTAAGGCTCTATTTACAGCCATGCTCCGCATGTACGCTTCCATCCACATGGAGTTGCGAGAGTCTCTCCTGCTGGAGCAGAAGGAAGAATCAGCTGAGGAATTTCGAGAACAAAGACGACGTAAACGAAAGCCCTCAGAGGAGCAGACTAAAAAGCCAAAGCCGTCACCTAGCCCAAGGGACCCCAGGATAAAATCCCAGGTTAAAGTGCCAACAAAAAATTTCTTTGCGCCCCTCAGGACAACAGAAATGGACGTTGCGGAGGAGACATCCGACAAAGAAGAGCAACCATCTTGCAGCAGGTTAGGCAGGCCTCCTCCCATTGTCCTAACCTCTGCCACTAACCTGATACAGTTGCAGAGGTATATCAAAGGCATTACTAATGGCAGTTTTGAGTTCCGTAACACAAGAAGTGGGACCAGAATTCTCACAAAAGTCATGGCGGACTTTTCAGCCATAAAGAAATTTCTTGAAGACAGCAATTTGGCTTACTATTCCTACTTTCCAAAATCAGAAAAACCCATCAAAGCTGTCATCCGTCACCTCCCCCAAAATACTCCAGCGGAAGATATATCTGACGGTCTGGTGAGTCTGGGGTTTGACGTCATTAGCATCAAATAATGACCAGTCGTCGGACTCCTCCAGAAGGAACAGATACCATCTACCTTCCCTTGTTCCTTGTTACACTTCCCAGAACTGAGAAGTCCCAACAAATCTTCCGACTGACCAACCTCTGCCACATTGCCATCAAGGTAGAGGCGTACAAGGTACAAAACGGGCCCACACAGTGCTACAACTGCCAGCAGTTCGGCCACGTTTGGGCTAACTGCAAACAGCCCCCACGTTGTTTGTGGTGCGGAGGTGGCCACTTACACAAAGAGTGCCCAGAGAAGGAGAACTCTGCCTCCACCCCAGTATGCTGCAACTGCCGATTGGCAGAGGGAGAAAAGTCACATCCCGCCAATTATCGGGGTTGCAAACATGCCAAAGAGGAGCAACAGAGAAGGAAGGTTCAGAGAACGTCCAACACTACGGGGAGGGTGTTCTCTTCGGCCACCGTTACTCCAGGTGTCTCTTTGGCGGCAGCACTCCGAGGCAGAGCAGCATCAGCGCCCTCAGGAAAGCCATGTTCCGGTGGCTCCAGCCGCAACAATGTACCAGCCCCTGCACTACAGAAAGATACAGGTNTACTAGGAAATATATATATATAAAGGGCATAATCTGCTGTACCTAGCCTGGACTGACAGAGGCCGTGTATATATTGTACATTTAAATAAGAAATAAGTGTGTATTGTAAATATGTGTAAATACAGACAATTGACTTATTAATACAGACTGACTAACAAATGACAGACCCGACCTCTCGTCTGAGAGGGCGCTATACATAGACAAGACAGTAAATTTCATTCAAAAGAAATATTTGATCATGAGCCCCAGCTGGGGCTCGACACCAAGACAGACAGACTGACTGACCGTCAGTTGTAACATGACCTTGACCTTGAGCAGTTCATCAGTTTACTTCGGTCTACGATCAAGCCACTCCAAGCAACATAAGCCAGCAGGCTTCGTCGCCAGTGCTCGGTCTTCGGAGGCATCGGCAGGCTGCGCCAGGCACGACTGCCTCGGCCCTCCGGCTCTCTCACACCCGACTCACTGGGGCACCGCGCCTGGACTCGCCGGTGGTCGTGTTACTGTCCGACCCACTGGGCATCTGGCATAGCCACTGCCTCATAACTCCTACGACCGCGCTCAACGACTAGCCTTTCACCAGCAGCCGCCGCGCTGCGATCAAGCAACCTCCAACTCACGCTGCCGTATGGCAACCAAGCAACCTCCAGCCACGGCCACACTGCGGCCAGGCCGCTCACCGCAACTAGCCTCTCTCCTTACCGGCGCGCGCCGCGCTACCTCACTGATCAAACATCTCAGCAACCACGGTCCTTTTCAGGACTAACAAACTGTTCCGAAGAAGTGGGTTGTCATCGGAGTAATGACAAGACTACATTAAGAGCCCCACAGGGGAAAGGGAAACACGATAACTACTGCCACTACGTGTAGAGGGTTGCAACTGAGATAGGGGAAAGGAAAACGCGGTAACTACTGCCTCTCTGAATGTCGGAAGAAACTTCACGGAGGTCTCGACCAATCTGAGAGCCTAAACAAACCAACTTGAATACCCACAATTACGTGCGGTTATGGTGATGCATTATATGTAAATTGGTAAGTATGAATTTTGGTTTGGTGTGGTTGCGAAACGAAAGTAGACATTTGCGAATGAAGTTACAGCTCCATATTAAATATATTATTTGTGTATGTGAATGTTATGCTTACTACCACAAATGAAGTTAGAAACACATAAATTTTTCAAGCCTAAAATTTTTTATTTTATCATGAACTGTCATGTAAAGGATATTTGTTTTATATTTTCTGCAACTTTCGGTTCATCCCAAAGATTGTCTGTAGAATGTTAAAGAGTTCTAGGAGTACCGTGATGCTGTTATAATTTTTGTATTGCTTCTTGCAGTATAGACATGAAAATGAAAACATGTGCTTCTGCTGAGTGCTTGTCATTCAGCAAGCAATGCATCAAATTCTTCAGCTTTCCAAGGGATCCAGCACGGTATATCTGTTTTAATTAATGGTGTAATTACTATGTGTTGCTTAATCCAATGAATAAATTAAGTTTAGTGTATGTCTGTGTTAAATTTATTCAATATAATCCAAAATTTTAGAATATGTACCAAGTTTGTAATGTTAACTGAAGAATTATTCCTAGGTTT